AGTGTGGACGTGGTCAGTAGGAAAGACAGGGTGATAGTTGTATATTATGCAATTGTTGACGCTGTCAGACTTTTTTTTTACTTTGTGAAATGAATACAATTGCCTGGCATATAAGAACTTACACATTTCATGTGTAAATCATATTTCATCTTGTATAAAGCATAGAAAATATATCTGAGCTGTTTTATAACAGAAAGTAGACCAATTCCTAAGGAAACAGATCAGTTTTGCCTATATCTTGTCACAACATTTTTCTAAGAAAAATGTCACATTTTTAAAATTTTTTCTGTATTTAACAGAATTTATTTCTGCAAGCTTTCATGTAATGAAACATTTTCAGTCAAAAACATTTGCATAGAAAATAAATTCATATTGCAGAGAAAAAATAAGGTTTCTATCTTGTTATACTGCACAGCTAAAAATGCTTTAGTGGCATCATGAGGTTTAAACTGTGGTGGTTTTTCATCCAATGCACTTCTCACTTTCAAAATGATTTGTGCATTTTGGCAGTGTGTGTTAATTCCAGGAAAACTTAATCTGAAAGAATGCTTTCTGAAAAGAATTCTGCTGATAATTCATATGCTTCTCTGATAGCTCTCTACAAACATTATTGAAAATGATCTGTACTTCATAATGGTTTAATTGTACAACCTTAGTTAATTTATCTAGAGTAATACTCCCCCTACTATGTTATGGGTTTACTAGCATAAATTTTACTAACCCATAACGTTTGAGATATTCTGTTCAAGTTAAAAAGCCTGTTAATTACATCTTTAATAAATGGAAATACATTAAAACAATAAATGTGAAAACATAAAACACTTATTTAAAAAAATAAAGCATTTGATCTCGGACATGCTGATCAGGAAATGCCAGCTTAAATATCTCCAATTTTTTGTGTTGTTTCATACTAGCTGATAAAAATATTTTTCTGTTTGGTGGAAAAAAGGGAGAGGGTGAGATTAGGACTTGAACTGGGGTCTTAGCTGCATTTACAGTTTCTTGGGGTTGGTTTGGGGTTTTTTTTTTTATTTCCAGAAATATTAATAGGTATTGTAATAGCGTGACCTATTAAACATAGCTGTTATTTTTACCACTACTACTACTTAGTGGTGGACTTGGTAGTCTTAGGTTAATGGTTGGGCTTGATGATCTTAAAGGTCTTTTCCAACCTAAACGATTCTATGATTCTATGAGAAGCGATGGCTGTGGGGAGACCTTATTGGGGCCTTTCAGTACTTAAAGGGGGCCTATAGGAGGAGTGGGGACAATCTTTTTAGCAAGGCCTGTTGTGACAGGACAAGGAATAACGGATTTAAACTAAAGAAGAATAGATTTGGACTGGATAGAAGGGAGAAATTTTTTACAGTGAGGGTGGTGAAGCACTGGAACAGGTTGCCCAGAGAGGTAGTGGAGTCCCCATCCCTGGCAACATTCAAGGTCAGGTTGGCTGGGGCTCTGAGCAGCCTGATCTGGTTAAAGCTGCCCCTGCTCACTGCAGGGGGGTTGGGCTAGATGACCTCTAAAGGTCCCTTCCAACCCAAAGCATTCTATGATACTACTATGGGCAGGTTACTGTTAGCTAAAAGCAGTAAGACAACGTGCATGTTAACAGGTGCGTGCTCAGAAGAATGGCTGCGCTATGGCACAGCAGAAGCGTCTCCAGCCCAGAGCCAGTATCGACAGTGGTCAGCAATACTGAGTTCATTCCTAGTTTTTAGCAGACTGTCACTTAAGGACTTCCTGAGCCAGCGGCACTACATGCATCTCTGAATAAGGCCTTGCTCATTAAGTGGCCTAATTCTTTAACTCATTGTGGGGGATTCGGCAGCATCCTGTGCCAGGAGTTCCAGTATTTTACTGTACAGTATGCATAAAAAGTATTTCTTTTATAGCTTCTGCCTTATCAGTTTCATTTGCTGCTTTCCGATGCGTTTTCTGAATAATGCTGTGTAGTTGTTTCCTAGTTGCCATCTTGTGTGTGATTTTATAGATCTAAATCTGTGTATTCTTTGCCATTTCTTTTCCAGAAGTTAAAAATCACCTGTAATCTCCCCTTGTGTGGGACTGCTCTATAGCCCTGATCAGTCCTCCTGCCCTTTATTTATTTATTTATATTTTTAATAAGGGAAAAGAAGTCAAAATACCCTCATTTTGAATACTACATGGTATCCCAGGAGCTGCACAGTGACATAAGAGTTTTGGGGGTTGGTTTCTTTTCAGTCCGTCATCTTAATTGCTGTAGAGCCGAGTGATCCACAGTGATCCGGGGCTTGCTTTCCTCAGCAGTAACAGCTAATTGTAGACCATGCGCAGTAATGAAGTGACTCACGCGTCTAGTCTGTAATTAATACTGGAGCTCTAGGTTGTGTTTTGAATAACAGTTTCGGCTGAAAGACCTCAAGAAGTGGCGGTTCTATGACATTCTTCACTATTTTGCTCTGTTGTTAATCCTTGTTACTTAAAAGCATGATTGAAGCAGCCGAGCCTTAGCTTTCTGCAGAACTAGGTCTGGTTCTGACTTGGTTTGCTACATCTCTGCTATCAGAAGGCCCCTAATGTAGGTACCTCTGGGCTGTGTGCAGGCAATGGCTTGGCTGCCTCTCAGATAAAATAAATACCAAGCTGCTTTAGTCTTACTGAACTGCAAGTTTCAATCACAACTGCTCTTGACTCAGAAGAGTGAAAATGTTATGTTGGAGAAATGTGCTGGTTTTTGGCCCTGCCACTGGCAACCTGCACCATTGGACTTAGCGTGTCACGAGTGAGGGTGTTCGTAGCAATGCGGTGTTGGGCATCTGGGCCCTGGTCTTTGCGGTGTGTTTGAACATAGAACTGTTGTCAGCTTCTTGGGTTGGCTCCCGCAGTCCCTCACGCTGGCTGGCGTTCAGGTATGAGTCGCTGCCAGGCAGGGCTGCCTGTACTGACCGCCTTCGCCTGTCAAGGGGAACAGCTGTAGCGGAAACTTCCAGGCGCAGCTGGGTCTGAGGTGGTATGAACCAAAAAGATGTTTAGGAAGGAACTTGTGGCAACCTGTTCTGATCTTGTATGCTTAAAACTTACCTTTCAAAAGTGGGTGTAATATCCAAGTCCATAGATACAGCAAGAGAGACTGCATCCCTTTTGCTCGGACTCCCTGGCCGAGTTTCTGAGTTTCCTCACGGTGGTGGCGTTAGGTGTTGTAGAGAGGAGCTGCTGACTCACCCAGTGAATTCACCATCCATATAGGAATAAATCTTGACTGAAGTGTTTGTGGCATTTGCAAGAACAGTAATTCTGTTCTCTAACCATAATTTTATTTGGAGCAAGGTCTGTGAAGCATGATTATTAATATACTTAAGTCTAAAGAATGTTTTTTTGGGGAAAAAAGACTACCACTGTTTAGGCCATCTTGTTACATAAATCATCAAAATATGACCTCATAGTATGAGAGCAGTTAGATACATTTTGGGAAAAAACTATTAACTTTCTTTGTTAAAAATACATTAAAATTGTTATTAATGGATCATTATTTCTACAGCAGTTTTAGCTGCTACATAAGCAGTATTGCAGTCTTCAGATTCTAGGTAGTTCATCTCCACAGTTCCTCATGGGAATGGGAACCTGACTACAAAAATATTTTTCTGTTTCCATTGTTCATGTTAAACAGATTTTTACAAACAGATCATTTACATATTGAAAATTAAATTCCATTTTGAAACTTACTAGTAGTACTAATTAGATTTAGATGGTATGTTATTTTAACCTAGGAGTATGGTGTTCTTTAGTTTACTTAAGGCTCCAGTAACATAACTCTTAACTTTTGAATGCAGGCTATACTCTAAAATAGCTTAGCACGTCAGCCACCAAAAAATACGTAAGCTAAGGTGGACACTTCAGGCTCCAGTAGCAATTTAAATGCTCCTTGTCATTACATTTGCCCAGTTTTATGAATATAAAAGAAGATACTAGCTCATCTTCATTCACCATTCTTAAACTACTTTGAATTACCTTCCACTGTTGAGGAAACGTGCCTAAACATAAGGCTAATTTTCACGGAGAATCTAAAAAAGCAAACGTCTATTATTATGCTAGCAGAGAGAATTGACTCCAGTTTCTCTAATAACATTTAGAGAGCAGGGTAACTTGTCCTTCAATTTG